TCGCTTTGCTTTTGTGTATGTCCAAAAATTGCTGTCGGTATTGGAATCGATCTGTGCAACAACAATACTATCTATCTGGGTCTCTAACGCAAAGTCATCATCAAACGTAGCTTGGAATGTAATGTGCGCATAGTATTAGGGCAGAAGAGTGATACATGAACAATTAGTATAACACTTTTAAATTGTTACCGCCTACTGAGCGAAGTGTACTAATTTTCTTCATTCTTTATTACTAGACTTATGAGAGACCAAAGAGAGGGAGAGAGTTTATTTTATAGAGTTGGGGATATATACCCAAATTACAAAGATTAGATTCATATCTTTTTTTCTTAATCTGCTACAAGTAGCACAATATAACTGCGTTCCATATGACGGTACCTTCCGTTTTACCATATTTTGAAACACAAGTCTTATTTTTCAAAAATTTTGGTTATAAAATATAAAAAGCTCAATGAAATATGCAGTTTAATATTCCTCTATTTCAATGCCCACACATTTCAAACTCACAACATTTACCACAACATATTTGATATCAAATTGCATTCCTGCTGAAAGCCTTTGTATTCACTTACACACAAACATACATATTTTCTGTGTAGGTGTCTTTATGTTGGGGTTATAAAAAATACAAAAGAACAACATTTAAGCATCTCCAACGATGATTGAGTTAATGAAGTGAAATTCTCTTTATGTATTTATTGAAATATTGTTTTGCAATTCTCCCTTTTTTTTGTATTTTATATAAAATATAAATAAATAAATTATCATCAACAGAGTAAATATTCTGATGCACTCTTTATGGTTGTTTCAAAAACGTTATTTGTTGCTTTGAAGCATTTTTCTTATATGTGTGCACATTCAATGAAAATTGTTTTCATTCAAATGTCATGAATTTTCGAGTCTTTTGAAAGGAGAAGATAATATGTGAATGGTGCATGAAACACACATTTTCACATATTTGAAAAGGTTTTGAGGAAAAATATTCGAGGGTGGGTTGGAAAATGTGAGTAATTATGATGAGAATTTATTAGCCAAGTTTTAAAATCTATCGTCAGAATGTTTTGTTGTTTACTATTTTTTATTTTGTGAGCACGGGATTCAAATATCGTAAATATTTGACAAACGTTTTTGGTGAATGCTTTAAATTACACTGTGCAACACAAAAAATAATCGCGAGGAAAATTCAACAGACTATGAAAGTAGAATTCAAAACAGAAGACACTCGTATCAGTGTTTTAAAAGTTTACATCGCAGAGTAGCCTAAATCGAGGGGACAGGATCGCCCTCTTCAACATTTTTAGAAATTTTTGGATAAAGGTTCCTCGAAACCCGTTAGTGTTGGGTATATAGTATCTTCGGTAATATTTCAGATAAAAATACGAAGAACTTTAGCACTTGAGCGAGTCAAAAAAGAGGCCTTTTTGGTTTTTTTTTTGTAAAATATGGTTAAAAATTTCCTTTAAACGGGATCGTAGCAATTTAAAATATTCCACAAAATTATTTGTTATAAAATTCTACTATAGATCTTGGAAGACGTCAAGGTTCTAAATCATACTTATACGCCAGGAATTCATATATATTAAAATACTTTGTGTGAGTTTGTGCACAAATCTCCAACAAATCATCATTTTAGAAGGATGATGTCAAAGACAAAAAACTATTACTCATCAAGTTTTACAATAAGTTACGAAAGAAGAGAAATCTCTATGTCCATTGTATGCCAAAATATTTGTCCATCAATTTTCCGAAAAAAAAACACGAAATGTAGCTATATCTGAACCAAAATTGATGTACTTGCTTCTAAAGAAATTCGGTCGGATGTGCCGAAATTCAGGTCATTTGGACAGATATTGGCCATTTGGTGCAAAATTAATCCGAAATTGGTTGAAAATATACGGCATATCTTAATCTGATCCGATCTCGATAAAATTTAACACAGGTATTTTCTAGATGCATATGTTATCTAGTAACTAATACCATTCTTACGGAGTGCAAATTACGCACGTGAGGAGGAAATATATATATGAGTGCTATAGCTATATCTGATTGATAAGTGATTCTATGAAGATTCTCAGAACTAACTATGGGTCTATCTCGCTTCCTTCTCCTTGTTACACACAAATGCAAAACGACATAATACCTCACCACTATATGATGAAGGTTATACAATGTGGACCTTTCTGTACTGCAGATTCTAGCTGAAATCTAAATATCTCTATCAAATTTCAAAGTTGTAATTTAAATATTGAGAAATATATCAAAAAATATTGGGGGTCATTATATATGGTCAAAACTATAAAAGAGCTTTGACAACATTTTGGCCAAAGAACTCAGAACTTCTTTGGGGTTTGGATTTAAAACCGAGTACTATACGGGGTGAGATGAAAAAACTGAAACCAACTTCAGACTGCTGTCATTTCTAAGCCACTTGTCCCTGTACAGCACTCGGTTTGGATCTAAAATCGAGTACTGTACAGGGTGAAACCTGAAAAATGAAAAACCTGAAACTAACTTTAGGCTGCTGTCATTTCTAAGCCACTCGTCCAACAGCTGTTAAAATTAATCCAGTGACAGCTCATTATATTGTTTACAAGCGTACAAAAGCATTTTGATGAGAATTTTCCACAAAAAAAATGTTATTCGGCAAAAATGGCTCGTGAGCTGAACATATCGCAATATTCCATTCGGTAAATATTGAAAAATGAGCTCGGGGTAAAGCCACTAAAATTCCAAAAACTGCCGAATTTGGTTTTCTCCGATGTGAAAACATTCGGACTCAGCACCATCGCACTCAGCCCGCGCCACCCAAGAATGGTTACAAAATGAGGTTCCTCGCTTCATTTCCAGCGCACAATGGCCACCAAAATCCCTGGATACCAATCCGTTGGACTATTGTGTCTGGAGTATTTTAGAAAGAATGTTGACACTAAAAAATACCAAAGTGTCGATCACCTCAAGCAAGCGCTTCGACGGGAATGAGCCAAAATACCGCAGAGCAACATTCGGGCATAGTGCGACGGTTTCATTGGCCGTTCGTGCCAAAGGACCAATTCGAACAAATCCAAAACTTATTCTGAAATTTCCGACTTTTTTTTTATTCAATAAAATTTAAAAAAAAAAATGTAAAAATTATGTCGTTCAACTTTGTTTCAGTTTTTTTATCTCTCCCTATATATATTTCATTTGATTTTGTTTTTAGGTCCCTGATATTCGTAATAATCTGTTCACGTATTTTTGTAAACAAAGTACAGTTCGCATTTATTGCCCTATCCAGATGAAATTTTGCACAAATCATTTGTTTGGCCCATCGGACGAACCCTATTGAAATTTGAGATAATCGGTCAAAATTTAGATAAAGCTATATATCTTCGACCGATTAGCCTTTTATTGTGCACTAAACGTGTAATATCAGTCCGAATAGTATGGAATTTTGCACGTACGATCAGATGGGATCTGAAAATAAGTATGCTAAATTTGATCGAAATCGGTTCAGATATAGCTACAGCTCCCAAAAATATTGTTCATCCGATTTGTTATTTTTGTCCTCCGCAGCCGTAATATGCACCCTGTAACAACAATATTTGGGAAAGTATATCAAATACAGCTCAGAAATACATTTGCTAAATTTTATCGAGTTCGGTTCGGATTTGGATATATCTCCCATATATAACTTTGTCCGATTTACCTTTTATTGTGCACCAAACGTCTAATATTTGTCCAAATGGGATGGAATTAGGATCGAATTGAGTCTAGAAGATAGTATGTCAAATTTGGTGAAGATCGGTTCAGATATAACTATAGCTCCCATATATATTGTTCATCCCATTTGTTATATTTGTTACCCACAGCCGTAATATGCACTCCGTAACAAAAATATTCAGGAAAAAATAAGAAGATCGGTTCGGATTTGGATATAGCTCCCATATACATCTTTATCTGATTTCAAATTAATTGTGCACCAAATGTTCAATACAAGTCCGAATTTAAAAGATACAAATGCTTCGGCATATTTAGTCCTTTGAACTTTAAATTATAAAAAACATAAAAACTTTTAATTGTTATGCGGAGCTCTACTAAATTAGCAAAGTGGTGTAGGGTATCATAAAGTCGGAGCCGCTCGACTTTAAGACTTTCTTTACTGTTTTTTTTTTTTTTTTAAGTTTAGCATTTGAATATTGTAATAGCTTGTGACAAAAGTTGCCTATGCGGGTCCACGTCGTCTTATAGACCCTAATATAACGGCTACTTTCGGTATTTTTTAGAATTTTTAAAGGATTTTATTTTTTTTTAATTTTCAAATTCGTTCCAAATGATGGAGGGTATTCATAGTTCGGCCTGGCCGAACTTACAGTTTAACTTTATTAATACAATCCTTTTTGAAATGATATCGTGCGCTCTATAGCAATGTGAATTTAGTGAAAATCGATTCAGAATTGGATATGCCTCCCAAATATTAGTTCCCTCTGAAACCAAACTACAAGTGCTCTAAAGCCAAATCTTCATAGGTGGTGTGATCCACTTCAAATAAATTATTTTGATATGGAGCTCTACTAAATATGCATAGTGGTGTAGGGTAGTCGGCCCGCCCGACTTTTAACTTTTCCTTACTGGTTTAGCTCTACTTTCATAATCTGCTGGATTTTCACCGTATTTATTGAAAAAAAATGAAATTTGTTACTCAGTATTATTGTCAATACTTTCATAGTGCATAAATATCGGATGTTGACGAGTTGTAGGTAATTGTTAGCTCTGATAAATAGTCAACGGGTGCTGAAAAGTGGTAGGTTATCAGAAATTACAATGCTGGTCTTAATCGTATTTCAAATTACCAGATGAACAACTAACATATTTTTTAATATCACTGGCATTGCAAATGAATAAGCGTAACTGATACCCAGGCTACATCTAAGAAATTTCTCATACATAGACAATATAACATTCCCATATTTAAAATGGAAACCATTAAAATATTCGTTTACGTTTCCCTTTCCCAATTTCAGATATGGAATCGAAAAATATTTGGATATTTGCAATTGTTTATTCAGCAATACAGCATTTTGCTTCATCTTCAACACCCTGTAAGTATAGATCCAACACACACACATACAAGCCATTGTTATATGCCACACATACACACACATATTGCGAAAAAATCATTTGTTTCTCTTTTTAATTGGTTGGTATTCATTATTTGTTGTTTGTGTGTTTATGTGTCTGTGTGTTTTTCCAGTAAAACGTCCTCGAGCCGGAGATCCATTTGATACATTTCCGAAGAATTTTTGGCAAGAATTTTCATCGCCCTTCACCGACACCCCCGAGGATGAGGAGCTCGAAGTAACCGAGACAACAACCCACGAACCATTCCCCTTCTTTGCCGATCCCTATACCACCGTGAATGTGAGCACCCAATTGGGCGCCAGAGTCTACCTGCATTGTCGAGTTAATGACTTACAGGGAAAAACAGTAAGTAATTGTTGAATTCTTTTAAACTTTTTACAGCTTACAGCCGTACGTGTGTATACTAGAGTTAAACTATCACTTGATAGGCAAACTATTAGAAAAGAAGAGCAGTGAAAGCAATTAAATTTCAATTGTTTACCAACAATTCTCTTAAATATTCTCCGGGTATTTCATAAGTAAAATAACAATATTTAAAGAATTTTTGTATGTAGTACACTGTAGAATAATTAAGGCATCAATGACTGCAAATGGAATTTTCCAAGTTCAATTTAAATCAGGGCTAGGCAGAGAAATTCAAAATTATTTTGTGATTGTATGTGTTTTGAAATAAAAAAATATTGAAAGTTTCGCTTTACCTCTCTATACACAGTGATAAATACTTTGTTCCTTTTTTATTTTTATATCTATTTTCATATTTTTTAAAGAGCTTTCGAGGCGGGGATTTTTAAAGAACCCTCGATACGTGAAATTTTTAAGGGATATTTTTGAAGAGCCTCCGAGCCATGGATTTTTAAGAATATTATTTGAAGAGTCTACAATACGTGAGTTTTTAAAGAATATTTTTGAAGAGCCTACTTGAATATTTTTGAAGAGCCTACAAGACGTGAGTTTTTAGAGAATATTTTGAAGAGCCTACAAGGCGTGGATTTTTAAAGAATATTTTGAAGACCCTACAAGCCGTGACTTTAAAGAATATTTTTGAAGAGCCTACAAGACATGAGTTTTTAGATAATATTTTTGAAGAGCCTACAAGGCGTGGATTTTGAAAGAATATTTTTGAAGAGCCTACAAGACGTGAGTTTTTAAAGAATATTTTTGAAGAGCCTACAAGACGTAACTTTAAAGAATATTTTTGAAGAGCAATTTAAATCCTACGTGGATTTAAAGAATATTTTTGAAGAGCAATTTTTATTCGCATAAATTCATATTTTGATAAAAAAAAATCGCTGTTAGATTTACATAATTTAATAAACTAAAAAATAATTTTGGAAGAGAAAAGATAACATGAATGACGTAAAAAAAATTTTAAGGTACTGAGATAATGGTTTAATGAAAAATTATAAATAAGTGGCCCGCCGAAAATCAGTATTTTTTATAGATTTATAGATTTTTTTATAGATATGTGTGAAACAAAAGGATATTTAGAACCTTCCTCAGTCACTATTGAAATTAAACTAATTTTTTTGGGGAGAGCAAAACTATATATGAAGTTAATTGTGTATTCATAAAAATATCCGACAGCACCTACCTCATCGACTACTCGCATAAAACTAAATATTCTCTCAAACCATTTTGACAGAAAATTCGAAACAATTTACTTATTATAATTGCGTTAGTGAACACACAGACATCCCATGGGATGCTCTTTGCTCTTTTAAATGGTTTTTGGTAGAGTTCCCAATACATATTATTTCGAATTAAATTTTTCGATCGAACAATATTTTTCCATTTCATAGAAACATGAAGTCCAATTCGGACTTCGAGAATTCGAAATGTTTATAATTTGTTATGGAGGTCCCAAAAAAGCTGTGTTGTCGGTATTTGGAATTTTTTTCAAATTGGGAATTTTTGGAATTGGGGCAAAAACCTAGCGACAGGGAAATTTTGTGAAAATATATAACAAACATGTGAAGATCTTTTAGGAGTTATTTTCACAAGACTATTTCATATCAGCTCATATTTTGTATTTATTTTCTATGTGTGAACTAATCGTCTACAATTACGTGGAACACCAATACAATGACACCGTCTGATTTAAGATAATTAAGAACTCATATAACGGCACCTGCCGATATTATGATTTTAGCCACATATTTTTCCCGGAATTGTTTTGGAGTACGCTCTAAGTAACCAAAATAGAGGAGAAAAGACCCCTCCCCCCTCTTCAATTTTTTGGGAAATTTTCCGATTAAGATTTTAGGGAAAAAGTGTAAGCTAAGTCATTAAAGGGATCTTTTTTGTCCTTCTTATACCCTCAGAGGGTATAAACATGCCTTATAGAAATAACGGTTTCAGGACATTTGGAGTCTTCCGTCCGCTCGACTGCCTGTCTAGCTGGTGCGCACGAAAACTCTTGAAATAAATATCCGATTTGATCCAAAATTGGTATATCGTAACACTATTGTCACACTGAGATTGAGTTTGGAGACGGGCAATATTGATCCACACCTTCTGGTACCTCCCCCACAAGGGGTCAACATTTTGAACAGTTATATTATTCGTTAAATGCGAAATAAGCATAAGATTCTCTTCACATTTCACACATCACAAAATTTTTATTTACACAAGATCTGGTGCGAAGATGGCGAATATGAGCCCAATTCTTTTGGCACCTACCCCACAAAGGGATTTAAACTTTGAATAACAAAAAAGTGAAAAAGCTGTAAGTTCGGCCGATCCGAACTTTGAATACCCTCCATCATTTTGAAAAAATTTGGAAATGTTCAAGAAAATAAAATCCGTTAAAATTCTGTTAAAATCTTAAAAATGCGGAATGTAGCCGCATATTAGGGTCTATACGAGGACGTGGACTGCATAGGCAACTTTTGACTTTGAGGTACCAGACAATTTTCTGTCATAGGTACCAGACAATTTTCTGTCATTACGAACTTCAAATACCAAATTTTAAACACTGCCGATAAATAATACCTCCAAAATCATCAAAATACCAAATATCGGGAGGTACCGTTATATGGGGGCTCTACGAAGACGTGATCCTGCACTAACAGTTTTGTATCTTAAGCTGTAGTATCCATTACGAACTTCAAATACCAAATTTGAAACTATTCCGGTGAAAAACTTTGCTAAAATAATCAAAATATCGAATATCGGGAGGTACAGTTATATGGGGGCTATACCAAAACGTGGACCTACATGGCCCATTTTCAATACCAAAAGTCGTGCAGACATAACATACATTTGAGTAAAATCTTATCAATCCACATCAATTCGTTCGGAAGCTAGAGTGATTTCCACAGACGGACATCGCTAAATCGACATAGAATTGTATGCTGATCAAGAATATATATACTTTGTGGAGTCAAAAATGTATAATTAGAGGTGTTGCAAACGGAATGACAAACTTAATATACCCACCATACCATGGAGGGGATGTAAGAAAGGGGTGTTAGTTAGATCGCTTATAACTCAAGAACGACTGGACGGATTTTAACAATTCTCAATAATAATGGCCTTTAGCCAAAAGAGAATAAAATTTAAACCTTCTCATAAAGAGATCGCAGAGTAACCCTTTTCAATACATTTTGACATTCTCGGATTAAGATTCCTCGATATCCGTTTTAGGAATGTAGTGTCTTCAGCAATATTGCAGATAAAAATACGAATAATAATTTGTCTGGTAATGTTACCCTTCGACCAAGTCAACAAAGGGGTCTTTTTGTTCCTTTTTTTTAAACAGGGCCAAAAACTCCTTTCAAACGGGATTTTAGTAAGTCCAAATGTTCCAGAAAATTATTCATCATAAAATTCTACTATAGATTCTAGAAGACGTCAAGCGTGTAAATCTTACCTCTTAGGGTTAAAGCCGTACTTTGCGTGAGTTTTTGAAAAAATCTCCAACAAACCACCACTTTAGTAATATGACGCCAAAGACAAAAAATATTCTTCATAAAATTTTACTATAAGCCACCAAAATATACCAAAATATTTTTGCATCAATGTTCTGAAAACAAGTAAAAAACATTAAGTTCGACTGAACTTTTAATATTGGTAGAACAATCTTTTTTTATAAAAGTATCTGAATTCAAGCGTGTTTCACTTTAAACTTTATATACCCGTAAGATAGTTTGGATAATGCTGTTGAACTTTTCAAAAAGCCATAAAGTAGGTGAGCCCGTTGTATGGGGGCCATACCAAAACGGAAACCTCTATAGACAATTTTATATTTCAAGGGTTGTCATCTACCAAATCTTCTCAAATACCATATTTGGAACCACTTTCTTGTTAAATGTGTTTAGGATTATTAGGATACCGAATATAGGTGGCTATCGTTATATGTGCGCTATAGGAAAACGTGGACCAAAATATTCAATGTTCTGCCGCCGAAGCTAGAACTCATTACGAACTACATATATCAATTTTTAGACAAATCCGTGGGAAAATGTGACAAAAAGCATCAAAACACCGAATGTGGGGTGCTACCGTTACATGTTGGCTATACGAAAACGTGGACCTATACATGCAATGTTCCATCTGTGAAACTAGAACCTATTATGACCTACAAAGACCAATTTTTAGACAAATCCGCAGAAAAATGTGGCAAAAATCATCGAAATACCGAATATCTAGAAGTACCGTTATATTGGGCTGTACAAAAACGTGGACCTACAAATATAATATTTCGCCACAGGAACTAGAACCGATCATGACCAATAAATTCAAATTTTTAGACAAATCCGTGGAAAAGTTTGGCAAAAATCATCAAAATACCAAATATCGGGAGGTACATACAATGTTTCCCCACAAGACCAAATTTTTAGACAAAAAATCTATACGTGCAATGTTCCGCCTGTGAAACTTGAACCTATTATGACCTACAAAGACCAATTTTTAGACTAAACTGTGGAAAAAATGTGGCGAAATCAAAAAAATACCGAATATCGGGAGGTACCGTTGTATGGCGGCTATACCAAAACGTGGACCGATACATCTCATTTTCAATAACAACTATCCTAGACACAATACAAATTGTTCTGCCGAATTTTGTAGGTCAACGTCAAATAATGTGGGCTGTATGGCATTTTCAACAGAGAGACAGATGGATATCGTTAAATCGACTTAGAATTGTATGCTGATTATGAATATATATACTGTATGGGGTCTACGACAAATATTTAGGGATGTTACAAATGGAATGACAAGTTAAAGGAGGGTATTCCAAGGTGGAGGGTATAAAAATATATTATAATATGTATGTATGTATGTTATAGTTGAATCTACGACCACTATTTCGTTTATTTACTGCTTACATCCGTGTGACCCAA